TGACAGTTTCATCTTACATGGCATAATGGGCTCTAAGCTGGAGAGTAATGCTCATCTGCTGTGGCATTTGAGCCACCTCTGTGCTGTCAGAGGGCAGATTTTCAGTTGAATGAATGTGCAGCAGAGGAACCGGCAACAATAATAAGTCTTTTGTGTTGTTTCAGTGGTACTGAGGACCTGCTCCTGATTCCCTCTCCTGCAGTTTCAGGGTGAGTTCTGTGCATCTGGTGTTGGCATCTTGTCCATCATCAGAAGCCCAGGTAAGAACAATGAGGCGTTGCTTTAAGCATTGTAAGATTTTTCTAGTGACTCTTAATAATGCCCTGGATGTTTCTCTTGGCTCCTGTGTCCCACGTGCATTACAGTAATTTCATCACTGCAGTGTGAATTGCTCTACAACTGTGCAGAGCAGGAGCAGGATGTGGGGTGGGTGACTGGGGCTGTAACAAGGGCCCTGCGAGTTGTTGGTGCGGTTGGCAATTTTGTTCGAGCCCTTTTTATCCAATTTATTGTGAGTAAGGGGGAAAACACCGGCCTTGAAAGTGGAGGAGAAAGGAGCTGTGCTGGAAGGCACGTTACGGACCTGGGCGCATCGAATCGTTGTGTTGCAGGAAAGCACAAACAACACGGGAATTTTATTTGCATACTCTTAGTTTCTGCTCCTCTTTTGACATAGGGGAAACAGTTGCGTTCACTAGATCTCTTCACTTTGAGTAGCTGTTTGCGTAGCATTAAGACAGATGCATTTTGGAAGCAGAGAGTTACAGGTTACAGGATTGTACTTGGTGAAGTTGTTGTTCAATGAGATTCCTGTTTTGACGCTAAAATCAGAAGTTGCACGATCTTAGTGCTGTGTATGCCTGAGCTACCCATGGTATGCAGCGCTAAGTCATTCCTATGAGCAGTGGCGCTCTGAGGAGATTGTGCATTATGTCACCACCAGTGATGACAAAAGCCAGGAGGAATGCTGAAACCTCAGAGGCTACACCCCTGCAGGCTCTGGTTAGCACTGTATTAATATCTATGTTTTAATATCTATCTATATCTATCTATATCTATGTTTCTATCTGTGTATTAATATCTATGTTCATATAGCTATGCACGTGTTTGCATAGCTTGGAAACAAACATGGCATATGGATGAGGTTCAACTGCTCCAGCCTTCTATTCTTAAAGAAAAGGAGCTTGTGCAGTATCAAGGCCTGACAGCAGTGGGAATCTTGACAGTGGGATATAGGGCAAGTTTCCACTGCGGCTCTGTTTTGAGGGAGAATTAACATTGCAGTTGATTTTCTCTGCTTCTTTGGATTGTGAAAATGATAGACATGCTGAGCGCTTCCAGATGTCTGCTTAGCACTGTGTGATCAATGGAAGCCTCCCGCGTGTCGGTGGAGGAGATGAGTAACATCCCTGCGGGAGCTTGGGCAGCCTGCCTCGGGGAGCACCACCCCCAGAGTGCCACGTCTCATGGTCTGCCATCCCTCCGCTCTCTCTGCAGCCTGCTTTCAGTGCTTTTCTGTGCGTGTAAGGTAGAAGAAAGCTCCCAAAAATAAAATAGCTCAGTGGGCAGCCTGCTAGGGAGCAGCTACAAAGTGCCACCACCTGTCGGGAGCTTCTCCAATCTCAGCTGGTGTCACAGGACGGTGGTGGCTGTGGGCGGTGTTCTCGTGTTACAGATGTGATAAACCTCTGTCAGAGTTTGACTAGCAGCTCCGGCTGAGAAGGATTGCTGGTCAGATGCTGTTGGAACTCCCACTGAGCTACCTGGTGTGTAGGAAGTTAATTTTCCTCTCTTGCAAACATGAATCAATTTATTTAATAAGCAGTAGTTTATTAAAGGGAAATAAAGTCTTTAGGGAAGAGGAACTAACTAACATAAAGCACACTTAATTTTAAAGGGCTCTAATTGCTGCACGGTCCTGTCGAAGGCAGCTACTTGTTTCTCTGAGCTGTGGAAATTAATGACCTCGAGACCTTTTTTGTGTCTCTCTAGAAGTGACAGCATCCATATTGCATGACTTCATTGTCACTGGTTTACAGTAATATCCCTGACGAGGACTGCTTTCTATCTCCAAAGCACTGGGAAATACTGCAGGTTCTGTCTGTGTGTCATGTATAGCATTCCTCACGCTGACGCCATGTGACATGCATTCATTCCTGGATATGCAAACTGCTGGGGTTGTGCTTGTGCAGTTGAAGGGATTGCCTGTACTGTAGAGAAAGATGTACGCATCAGGCGTGTCACTGAACGACACAGCACTCCCTTATTAATAGTTTCAGTTTTTAATACCGCTTTGACAGCTTGCTGGAAAGCAGATGTAAACATCCCCACAAATACCAATACGTGAAAATCCCCTCTAAGCAAGGGTAGAAAGCTACTTTCTTTTTGTCTCTGTGCTGATTCCTTGCAGCAACCTTGGCCACGAGCAATGCCATAGAGTCTATGTAGGAGAGAAAATTAGCGTTCTCACAGCCTTCTAATATCCCGGTTATTTCTAAGGTGGATTTAATACATTTAAAATTTGAAAGTACACTTGGCTTGTGTCAGCTCCTTGCTCTGCCTGAATGGCTCTCATGGTTGCTGTCTCACTGATCTCCACTTTGATTTTACCAGCATTTCTTATCTGCTTGCTGTGGTCCGTTTGATACATGCAACTAGAAAAGTAGTAATGCTAAATAGTAAGATAATACTTCTGCCCCAGTATAAAGGGACTTTCTGTTCTTTGGTGACTTGGAGCTCTGTTACGACCTGGTTTTACCGAGCCTCTTTGTGATAATTGGTATTTTTGCCTTTATGTCTGTAGCAGGAGGACTGAGCCAGGGTCTCCAGGGGCTGGAGACAAAATCTCGGAGCTGGAAGCTGCATTGTACTGTGTGGATCCAGACACCCACTTCAGCAGTGCCCCATCTCTGCTTTGTGATGATGGCAGTGCTCATATACAGCCCGTGCTGCTATATTAAGGCAAGCAGCATGCCAGTAGGCTGCCCACGTCTTAACCTGATCTTGGCGTTTTCTTTTTGCAGCAGATATCCCCAAGAAAGTAGTCTTCTCCTTCACCTTTTTTGGGATTCGGGAGTGTATGAACTATTCTAGGAGCAATATGGTCTGTGTAGCCATCTGGATGCCTGCTTATCGCTGTGAGACAAGTGCCTGGAAGCAATCCTCTGGGGAAAAACTTGCTCGTTTCCACTATTTACGCTTTATTGTGGCAGTATCTGAGAGCTGCGGTTACGGTTCGGAGTCACATCGTGCAGGGAACAGATTATGAGCAAGCCTGGCATGAAAGAGGATGATTCTTTGGGGATGGGCTAAAGTTTGGTATTATTCTCAAGTTTTCTAGAAAAATGGATTAGTTTCTGAATGAGTGGCAGAGCTGGTGGTATATATGGCCTGCGTGAGTAATACAACTTCTTTCATCGTTTTACTTCAGGCTCCGAGTCGCAGAAGGCTGAGTGCCGGGAAGGGAAGCTGGCAAGCCAAGCTCCGACAGCATTACTGCCTCCAGGTGGTACATCTCAGAGGCAAACACTAGCGTTTATCCTCTACACTGGGAGAATACTGAGGTACTAAAAAAACCCATCCAAACAGGTTTGAAAAGATCTAAGTCATCTGCGGGGAGTCAAGGATTCATCGTGTATCAGGAGATACAGTAGGTGTTTAAGCATTTGTGCGGTATGGGGTGAGGAAGGTAGTGAACGCCTATGAAAACTCATTATTTTCTGTCTTGTTTTGTTTCCTTTTTAATGAGGAGCAGCTCCTTACAAGTTATTGCAGATTTCCTGCAAAATCTCTTTCTAATTTGCTTGGTTTTCTTACTAGTCCAGTGCATGCTGAGAAGTGGTGTAATCCACAGCAAGACCCATTAATTTCAAGGAACGATTCAGCTTTGGTAAAGCTGATTAGCTGAGAGTGTTAGGTGATAGTTTTTGCAACATAAGAATTGTCAAGCTATTAACAATTTTTACATGGATTTTTCCGTTCTTCATGGTTTTGAAAAGTATTTTAATTGCTGATGGATGCCGGGAGCACCTCCTTTTCTCCTCTAAAAAACAGCAACAAAAACCCAACCAATCAAAAAAACCAGAAAGCTTAGTTAAGTGGCTGCGAGGATTAACATAGGCTAGTGGAGTCCCAGTGAAAAACCACTTGAGGATGCATATCAAAGTTGTAATAGTAATAAACTGTGGACAGAAAACAAGCAAGAAGCTTGGAATGCAGCAGCAGGCACAGCAGTGAAGCAGGGTAGTGAAGGAACAATAGCAATAATACAATTTCTGTATTAAATCTGTTAAGAAGCTATAATATACATGAAATATAGCACCCTTCTCCTCGCCTGGTAGTATTCACATAGCACACAAAGCTGAACACACCAATTGCATTGCATAAAGAAGATTACTATGTAAAAGAACTTTCTAGCAGTCAGGAAAGGAAGGACCGCTTCTCACGAAGGGTGTGACTGAGCTATTGAAATGAGAACAATAACAGCTCTCGGTGCTGATGACCATGGAAGTTTGATGTCTGCAGGTTCTTGCCAGGCTCACCATTTGCTTTGTTAAGAGCTGGAAGGAAGCAAAGTCGCTGCAACTTGATGGAATGCATTGGGTGGAGAAGAGGAAACTCCGTTTCCTGTCAAGTAATTATTTCAGCTAATGCTTTTTTTGCAGTGCATTGCCAGCTGCATAGTTGAGTGTAAATACTGCTTGGGGAAGATGGCGGGGCTCATTTAGTAATTTATAATTTTAAAAACTAAAATAGGAGTGAAATAGAAGTTGTACGAAGACAAAGAAAGAGGACACTGAGCATGGCGCTGTAGTGCGGTGATTAAGATTTATAGAGCCAAAATGTTCTTTCACATTGCTCCAGTAGGGATGCATCAGGGCAATTTTGTCACGCTCTCTGTTATAAGAAGTAAATCGGGTAAGTTCCAAGCAGAGTTTTTTTGGTTTATCCCTATAGCTTTATTCCTTTATTCCTTATTACATGTAGAAGCACTTTCCCAGATTTCTTTTCTTTTTTGTTTTTGCTAGGATATGCCAGGCAACAACCTAGGAAATAATAAGATTGGAGCAGGAGAAAGTTGCTTCTAACCTCAGGACAGTGTGACAACAGTGACCTGTGAAACCACAGGTCTGTGCTACGAGAAGGAATAGTAAAAAGCATGGGTAAGGAAGGGAAAGCCAGGTGGCACGTGCTGCTTCTCAACAGCTGCGTGAGAATGGAGCAGCTCCTGATGAAGGCCAAACATGAAGGAGCGTCTCAGCCAACATGATTGCTCGTATCTTAATATAGCAGAACTCTTGGCAAAACAAGGGGATGAGGACCAGGAACGGCAGGGAGGAAAGCCGGGTTTGCTTTCCAAACCCATTTGGAGCGCAGAGAAATTCTGCTGGTTCTTCAAGGCCCCTTCCTTCCAGCTCCCACCCTTCCTGCAGATGGCTTCTCTCGTACGTGCCTCCCCCCACCCACAGCCCACTCTTCCGTTTCTCATCTGTATTTTCCTACTCGTTTTCTCCTGCCATGCACTTGTACCATTCTTAGTTCCTCTCTGTGTTTTTAGCTGAGTGGGTGGGTACCTTACTGTTAAGACATACTGGGAGCAGATTAAGAAAATCCGATGGGTTTATAGGATTCTGTAAATTCTTTTCCTTTTTTGTGAAAGAATTTAAAATAATTCCAAAAATCTGTAAAAATTTTGCTTTATTTGGAACTAGATGTCATACATATACATTACACTTATGTCATATGAAGTGTTTTAGAGATAGTGCATAGCATGGTTTTGTTTGAGGTCGCTGCTGACCCTAACGCATAAATGCACGCATTGTGTATTGTAGGCTTGACTTTTGTTTGTAGAGGGATGCAGCAGCTTGCAGAGGATGTAATCGTTCTTCCTAAGAACTTACATCGAGACACGCAAACAGAAAATCTCTTCTCAAATTTATGTAGGACTTGTTTACACAGGTCTCAAACAGCATGTCATCTCATACTGTCTTCAGTCATAACCTGCTCGCTGACTTTCAATCTTCACCAGTCATCAACAGAAGAATGTTAAACATGGTAAGAAAACGAGGGTTATTTAAAAGTCACAAATTGCTTATAGCTTTCCCTGTGATATTGTGGAAATGACAATTGCCTCTGCAAATATAGACAGTTTGTGTGCATTCATAATTGGTTGGCTGCTAGCCACATGTCTCCACCGTTCCCTTTTCTGCGTCTTTCTTGGTGCTTCGTCGAGCTGTAATGACTCAGGGATGAGGCAGCTGGTTAATGCAGCTCACGCTGTCACTCTCACAGGGCTCATTTGCCTGCAGGCATGTCAGAAGGAACAAGTAATGTAAGGGTATGTATAATCATGGTTGGTACTGCACTGAGGAGATGCCAAAGCTCACTCAGAATGAGTAGCATAGAACACAGGAAGCTGAGGAGCTGAGGAGCAAGACACATGCTCTTGTAGTGAGCATTGCATTTCTGTAGGCAGACTGTTCCCTGTACTTGGCCTAAAAAAGGCGTGCGTACACAGTCTGCAGCATTGGCATTCTTTGCATTCTTACCTCACGTTTGTTGCACATTTTTGTTATTTAGCACCGCTGATGCCACCTGACCTCTATGCAACAGATGAGCTGACCAGAGAGGCAGCAGGTCCCGATCTTCCAAGACATTCAGAACCCCCACGTGCACAGCCCTAAGAAACCTGAGCTGAGGCGTCGGACCAGGCCATCTGCAGAGATTCCCATCCACCTCCGTTGTTCCGGCTTAGGTTCTGCAGCTCGCTCTGCTTTGCAGGTTGGTCCTTCTTTGTGTACAGGAACTACTACAGGATGATGTATGGTTTGCATTCTAGAGGGTGTGAAATGCAAGCACAACATCAAGGCTCTCAGCTGGCACAAGCCTGAATGTACAGCGGCACACTGTCCAGGCAAAGCAGATCCAGGTATCCCTGCTGCTGCTGCAGCACACCTGGGCTGGGCTTAGGTGTTTAGCATTTCAGAGCACTAAATGCACAAGCTTCTCATCATGACTGTTGACTGCAGGTAGGTGGCCTTAGTTTGCATGTCTTCATTCTTAATTCTGCAACAGACGCCATCAATTTTTTGAGAGCTTTGCACCAGCAGGCGGCAGACTGTGTTGCAAGGGAGGTAAGGGAGACAGCTTCAAAAACAAAACACGCATTAAATAAAGAAGTCTCAGAACCTGTGGTGATGATCTAGTACAATTATCTTATGAGCTATCCTAAGGAACTGTGTCTTTACGCTGCACAGGGTTTTTGCCTAAAGAAGGGAGAACAATGGGAGTTATTTCTGAATCAGGCTGACTTTGAGCTGTTTACTGGAGTGGTGTTCAGTGGAAGTCTCCTCTTTCTGCCTATTTGTTCGAAAGAAGGGAAGTAAAAGGTGAAACACTAAAGAAATATATATGTTGGGAACCACGGAATGATAATAATTAGAAAAAAGTCCTCCAGAGAGAAATAATGACTCATAGTTTATGTTCTCTCGAGCGTTGCTATGGAAAAAGAGGTTAGTGCCAACGATCATAGAACAATATTAATCTCTGATGTGAAAGGAAAAATAATAACAACCTCTAGCTTAAACCAAAGCAGATTTGGTCTGCATTACAGCAGCAAGCTCCATTAAAGAGGATAACAATGTAAGAAAAATTAAAGATGACATTGATTAGCAGCCTTCAGCACAGACATAGATACAGTTAGAGAGAATGCTCACACGAAGTTTGAGTGCAGGACTGGAGGAGTAAAGGGAGGGAAGCAAGATGCATGGAACCAGATGCAGGCCAGAGCCTCCTTGTGCTCACAAATGGGCCCATCTAAGGGCTGGGGCTGGCTCTAGGGAAGTTCACAAAACAGAACCTTGGCAATGGGCAGCTACAAGTAGCTGTTGGCCTATTTTTACCATTTATTTGGGAAAGTGAGGGTGGTGAGTCAGGCAAGAGGATGCCTACGTGCTGATGCAGCACCCTAGGCTGCTCTGGCAGCTGCACGGACTAGACTTCCCTTGCCTGGGCAAAGCCCAAACCGGGCCAAAGCAGCTCTGAGCTTAAAGGGATCAGGTGCTAATGCCCTCTTTGCAGTAGCAGCCCTGCTTAACGTCTTCCTTGTGCCTCTGAGAGCCAGCACTCTTAAGTCATTCAAGTCAAAAGCAGACAAAGTATCAGCAGCACAGGATTCAAGTAAGAAGAAAGAAGATTGAGATGGGAATCGGATGGGTAAGAAAGGGTTGGCAAGAGATTGATAACAAATTGCAAAGAGATGGAAAATACATGGGAAGAGAGGAGATGGTGTAGAGAGGGCATGAGATGAGTGTCTGATGAGAATGTAAGGAGTGGGGGAGGGGATATATGAGATAGGGATCAGAATAGAATGGGAAGACAGTGGAAATAAGCGGAGAATATGTGGATGAGATGAGATGGGGTTCAGTAGAGAAGAGCCTGGAAAGAAGCAGAGAATATGTGGATGAGAAGAGATGGGGTTCAGAAGATGAAGAGAAGACCCTGGAAAGAAGCAGAGAATATGTGGATGGTATGAGATGAGGTGAAATGGGGTTTAGAAGAGGTAGAGAAAACCCTGGAAAGAAGTGGAGAATATATGGATGAGATGAGATGAGACAAAATGAGATGGAGTTCAGAACAGGTCCAGAAGACCCTGGAAAGAAGCGGAGAGTATGTGGATGAGATGAAATGGGGTTCAGAACAGCTGGAGAAGACCCTGGAGAGAAGCTGAGATAATGTAGATGAGATTGAGACGAGACGAGATGACTGAGATGAGATGAGGTGGAGACAAGACAGAGAAGACCCTGGAATAAAGTGGAGATAATGATGTGGATGAGGTTGAGGTGAGACAAGATCGAGAACAGGCAGAGAAGAACCTGGAATAAAAAGTGGAGATAATGTGGACGAGATTGAGATGAGATGCAGTTCAGAACAGGTAGAGAAGAGCCTGGAAAGAAGTGGAGAACATGTGCATGGGATGAGATGAGATCAGATGAGATGGGATTCAGAATAAGTAGAGAAGACCCTGGAAAGAAGCGGAGAACATATGCATGGGATGAGATGAGATCAGATGAGAAGTGCAGAATATGTGGATGAGATGAAATGAGGTGGGGTTCAGAACAGGTAAAGAAGACCGTGGAAAGAAGCGGAGAGTATGTGGATGAGATGAGACGAAATGAAATGGGATTTAGAACAGGTAGAGAAAACCCTGGAAAGAAGAGGAGAAAATGTGGATGAGATGCAATGAGATGGGGTTCAGAACAAGTAGAGAAGGGCCTGGATAGATGCGGAAAATATGTGGATGAGATAAGATGAACTGGGATTCAGAATAGGTGGAGAAGACCCTGGAAAGAAGCGGAGAATATGTGCATGAGATGAGATGAGATGGGGTTCAGAACAGGTAGAGAAGATCCTGGAAAGAAGCGGAGAATATGTGGACGAGATTGAGATAAAAGTGAGGTGAGATGGGATTCAGAACAGGTAGAGACGAGCCTGTAAAGAAGCGGAGAATATGTGCATGAGATGAGATGAACTGGAATTCAGAATACGTAGAGAAGAGCCTGGAATGAAGTGGAGATAATGTGGATGACATGAGATGAGACGGGATTCAGAATAGGTAGGGAAGATCCTGGAAAGAAGTGGAGATTTTGTGGATGAGATGGGGTTCAGAACAGGAAGAGAAGAGCCTGGAAAGAAGCGGAGTGTATGTGGATGAGATGAGATGAGATGCGGTTCAGAGCAGGTAGAGAAGATCCTGGAAAGCAGTGGAGAATATGTGGATGAGATTGAGGCGCGGTGAGATAGAGATGGGCTTCAGAACAGGTAGAGAAGAGCCTGAAAATATTTGGAGAATGTGTGGATGAGATGGGGTTCAGAACAAGTTGAGAAGACCCTGGAAAGAAGCGGAGAACATATAGATGAGATAAGATGAACTGGGATTCAGAATAGGTGGAGAAGACCTTGGAAAGAAGCGGAGAATATGTGGATGAGATGAGATGGGGTTCTGAACAGGTAGAGAAGACCCGGGAAAGAAGCGGAGAATATGTGGATGATATGAGATCAGATGAAATGGGATTTAGAACAGGTAGAGAAGAGCCTGGAAAGAAGCGGAGATTATGTTGATGAGATGGGATGAGATGGGGTTCAGAACAGGTAGAGAAGACCCTGGAAAGAAGTGGAGAATATGTGCATGAGATGAGATCAGATGAGATGGGGTTCAAAACAGGTAGAGAAGACCCTGGAAAGTGGATAATATGTGGATGAGGTGAGATGATACGAGATGGATAGGTGTTTACCTCAGACTCATTCCAATAGTGGATTCTGGTCATCATGCTGCAATCAGTTCTTTTCTAAAGCAAGGTTCGCTCCACTTGCAGCAGGTAAGTCTTTGATTGACATATACTTGGATCATAACAACTGATATGACATAACTGGAACTTAATAATGTAAGAGACATCCTATCATTTCAGTATAATTACAATCAGACTTTTGAATGGTTACATGCATCTGCCATATTGTTATCTATGAATATGCAATTATTTCAAGTTCCCACACACACACATCCTTTTTCAATATAGATAAGCACTACTGGATGGATCTCACTGGGATATCTCTAAGAATGGTAAATATTTTGCTTAGTTTCAGGACGTAAGTCTTCAGCCGTGACAGCGACTCTCACACCTAAATTCTTCTTGTTCCCATACAGCACGCTAACTTGAACTGTTAGCCATTTGTTTTCATTTTGTTGAGCCCATTCTCTTTTTAAATAGGTAGAATATAACCCTGTTTTCAGTCAGACTCAGCACAATGATTCGGTATATGGTATATACAGAAGCATTGAGTCTTCTTCGGACGAAAGCTGCAGCACAGTTTGTGGCAGGTTCTTAAGTGAAATTAACTAGATGCCATCAAGATCAAAATTATCTTTCAACTTCATTTGCATTCTCCCAAATTACCTTTCAAATTTCAGTGGGTAAATTGTTTCCTTTACCTTCTACAATGAAAAGCTAGTCTTCCTGTTGAGTTATGGCAAGTGCATCTGCAATTAACAGGTGCTCTTTAATGTTAGTTCTTTCCTGCTGAGGTTATACCTTAGATAAGCACCGCTGATTGGTTCCCACTGCTGATAGCCAAGTCTGCAGGGGTGTTGCAATGCATGATGCACTTGTTGCATCTGACACCCCATTTTTATTCTTTGTTCTCCATCTCTTCATGATTGCCACTACTGCCATTAAAGTCCTGGCCCCATTCATTTCCTGAATATATTTCATTTCTGTGCTTAACAGTGGTTGAAAGGGTTAAGCATCTATTAGAATTAGAATTCAGTCCCACGTACCCAGTATGCCCAACATTGGCATGGGACTGTGACCATCCAGTTAATGTGACCAGATGAGCATAAGCTATTAAAAATATTTACCTGAAAAAAATGCCTGTCCAAAACACTGATGATACTGCAGGGATCCCTGGGAATGGATCAGTGTGAGAATGTGAGGGACAGCAACACAATTGGCATTTGTAAGCATTTGGAAAACAAAACAAAAAGTAAACCAGAGCTTATCATTTCCAGAAGAACCGAGGTTGGCAAACGCATAACTGGATGAGAAAAGTAAACAAAAAAAAAAGTTCCTGGTCTCAAACAAACCACAGCTGCAAGGTAGGTCAATTCCAGATAGTTTATTTTGTACCTTTCCTCCTGGTCATCTTGAGCCTTCCAGGTAAATTTATTAAGAGGCTCCTAGTGGGTAAAAGGGA